AGCAGCTGTGAGCTGGCGTGGCGCTTCCGATAAAACCAAGTTCCATACGTGTGAGCTGCTGCAGGCAATGTGCACTGGTCCTGTACGCTGTCTGTGCGCCAAACTCCGAAGGCGTGCCAAGTGAGCTGACACAGCTCCATGCCGGCGCCCCAGGGACCATTGGTGCGAGCCTCCCCACCATTCCCGTCGCCCCAGGTTCCATCATGGTGTGAGCCGCCCCACCATTCCCGTCGCGCCAAGTTCTCACGCGGCGCGATAGAACTATCGCTCATTATGGCTCTGGCTCCCAACTGGACGGGCTCGGCCGCACTGAGTATTGATCGGGTGTGGCTAACACGGGCCCACCGCGGACGAGAGATGGGTCAGAGACCCGATAGTTGGCCGAGTGGCGGGGTACAGATGAGGCTCGAACATACCTGGATGCACGCTGAGTCCTGATCTTCATAATGCAAAGAGTTTGATTATTAAAACAAAGCGTGTTAATTTGATTCAGTTTAAATTAACGCCATTTTCCTACCAAAACGACCAAAACATCTCTCTGCGTTTAAATGTACCGCCATCAACGCATGCAATTAGTTTTATACGTTTTGATACTGTTGGTTTCATGAATTGCATTAGAAGAAGTACTTTGCGTAAAATGATGACATGTGATTAATTATGCTAAATGTAGGGTAGGTATAGACCTCTACATAGCATTATAATTCAATCGGTGGTTAATAAAGTAGCCTACCTTTCTCATAATTAAGATCAAATAAAAGGACATTAAAAAAGCTTGTAATGTTCTGATACTTCTCTTCCCTAAGTTCGTAGCCGTTGTGCTTTGCTGGTGTATTTGTCGAGCCTGACTTCGCCATATGTGGCAAGTTTGGTAACATTTATTACGGTAATATTTTCAACTACGATTTTTAGGAAACTGACCCGTGACCGTACCGTGACTGCATCAGGTCTGTCACGAGACTGAGTTCTTGTGACCGTGATTGACCGTACCATGAATGTCATATGACTCACGTGGAGTCACGTGACCTTTCCGTGCCTATACCGTGACCTGCTGTTCCGTGACCTGCGGCAGTGTCGGTGCTGGCTGCCCGGCCGGACGGCCAGCCGGCCGTCTCGGTCCTGCTGGCGGCTTCCGCGGGTCTCTTGCTGGACTCCCCTCACCAGCTGCGCCGCTGCTCGGCCGGGCAGCTGCTGCTGCTGCCAGCTGCCGGAGTGGCCTCTGCCAGCTGGCTGCTGCCACACACCGGCGACCCGCCGGCTGTCCTCTGGCTCAGGTGAGGTGGGGTCATATCATTTCCTGGGCGAGGTTGAGGCATCACAAAGATGCCTCGTCTCTGTTGCCAATGTGCTGAATTTATGCTAACTTGTGCCTGAAGCTCACATAATATGTTTTTAAAATACTAAAAAATGTCGTTTTATGATGTCTTATTCCACCCACATTTGCCTGTTTTCCATGTTTTATTTCTCTAATACCAAATAATCTTCCGTTTGCAGTGCATTAATATTGTGGGATGACGGGTCGGCGCAAAAGGTGACCCACAATGAATCTGTTGCTTCAGGTAAGTTATTGCTTCCTTCCCCTGCTGCTGCATATGCATTTAGAACTTTTGTTCATGTGTTGTTTAAATGCGACTGAACTGAAGGCAGATACGCGATAGTTAATAATTATATATTACCTAAATAAAATAAGTGAAATAAAGAGAGATAGCCAGTGGGGAGAAAAGGGGCGGAGAGGGATAAGAAGAGAACAGGGAAAGGCAGAGACGAGAGAAGAGACGACAGTTTGATAGAGTTTTTGATAAATGGTAGCAAATAATTATGCTTCGCTACCGTCACTTTAGAATTAATTTATTATGTTGTATTTCCGCTAAATTAACATTTCCGAATTCATCGCCCTGCGCCTTAGAGACCCTTTTTTGCTGCCCAGCACAACACTGTTGCCTTTTAGACTCGGAGTCACGGAAGGGTCGTAACGTTGTTCACGGCGTGGTAGGTCGCTAAAGATCAGTCATGGCGGCCATATATAGCCGCTGATTCTAACGATTGCTGGCTGCATCGCTGCTGCTCAATCTTTCGCAACTTGCGCTGCACCTAATGTCTCCGGTTCGACCGCCTGGAAATCGAACTCATCAATAGCTCATCAGCTGACCGAGGGTGAGTGTACGACCGGTAGGCGCACTCTGCGCCTCTTTTGGGGTACTTCTCAGCCAGCTTACAGCACGCGCGCTCAGTCGAAAACCAGCTGAAAGTTTGATATCCGCAGGAAATTGAAATTCTGGGAACGCGTGCCGAATCAGACCGAAGGTATTAATACACCGCGATTCTGGTGCCGAAGTGGATGCCGAGGAGACATTGTCGATCGTCTTTGTGACAGGTTTTATGTTACTCCAACGTTTGATTTGCAATCGTTTGGATAACCTACTTGAACAATCAGCCACTCGTTAAGCTATCGAAATATAACAGCACTCTTTTTGCGCCCAATTTAGGTGGTAGTGCACGCATTTCAGTTAAAGTGCACGCGATTTTGCTCGGTATATTGAATCGCGGCGCGAGATTCGTCGCGGAACTCGTGGCTCGAAATTACGCCGGGAACAGCTCGGGATCGCCCACGCAGTCAAAATGGATGGATTGGATACTGGATAAATCGTTCGCAGACCGCCATCCTGTTCCAGGCAATCAGCCGTTACTGACATTCAGAGCTCAGCGAGGCAGGAGGTCGGAACTTTGTGCGGTATCCTCAGAGACATTGAGTAGCTAAGTCCGCTTTAGAAGTTAAGGAAAGTTTCAAAAGCGCTTATCCCGTCTCATGATTTATAACGAAAGTCTGAGCAGCTCGACCGACGGACGGATTCGCCGATCTATCGATGCTGTATCGGGACAGACGGCTGGAAAGCGGCGGCAACAGACTTTGCAAAAAAAAAAAGATTAAAATAGGAAAACAAGCAAGGTGAAGGAAAATGACCAATGGACTTCTTATAACATATGACACTGAAAACCTTCCATTTAACTTTCCATTCTGCGACCCTGCCACGCCCCAGTTCGGTTCAGCTTGGCTATCGTCTCCTTGACCGATTTTCTGGTTATCTACTCGTACACCAGTTTCTTTATGTGCTAGTGCCTTTCATAGAAAGATGTTTCATAGAGTATAGCCTGCTCCGTCTTGTGCACGCATCATGTTACCTTCCAGGTGGACGATGGGTAGCTGATGAATGATTTATTTTCCTCCACTGCTCTTCGTCAGACGTCCTTTGCGTGCTCACGTAGTACGTCGTGGGTGGACGCCTGTTGACGTTTCCCATGCATAAATGCTGCTCGTGAGCTTTTTCTAGAGTATCAGGCGTGGGAACTGTGTGGCGCTATCGAACAATGATAATCACAGGAAGCGCCTGATGTACTCGTACTTGTACTCGTAATGGTACTTGCCCATCTATTTGTCCTCGGCTTTCTCATTTCAACTTGTCAGTTATACCTATGAAATCATATGAAGCCTGACAACACCAATATAGCTAGTTACATACATGTTTAATATAGGTTTGGGATTTGTGATGTACGTTCTATTCAACCAAAGTTATGTTTGGTTGCTGTAAATCGATTAAACTATATGTTTTGTAAGTACACTTTACTGTCCCATTAGCGCACGCTCCTATTTCTCGTGGCACGTTCCTTGTTAGTAAAAAGACTTTTGTTTGACCTCGTGCGAAATGTAGTCGGCTTCTATAGTACAGTACGCCATTTTGCATTTCTCATGCGATAGACTCACTTTGTGCGCGGCCGCCCACACTTCGATCAATAACATCAATTTGTGATAAGGGTCTTTGTATGGAAGACCAATCCTTGCCGCGTAGTGGTCATCGATTCGTATTCATGATGAATGCTCCACGAGGGGGCGGTCTGCTGCATGTGCGATGACCGCGGGAAATTGGCGACCTGTGACACGCACCGGTCCCAGGCCAGATGTCAGCAGGGGTCACCGTGCGTCCCGTGACGCATTGGGGTCGACCTCGTCAACAAACACCGGGGCCAGCTCTGTCAACAGGCGCTGACCCTATCGCACGCACGTGACCAGGGGTGAATGACAGATATGATACGGAACGGAAAATGGGATCCGCTATGTTTTCTATGGTATGGTATGGTATGTATATATAAAACTCTACTGTTTCTAGGTGTTTTAGTTTTCTCATAAGTAGGCTTAAAATGAATGTTTTTACGCCACCCCAATGCCGTCTCCGTACAGAAACTGCATTATATCCGTCATCTGACGCCGTCCCGTACTCCCTCCACAGGGTGCCAGCTGCAGCTGAGGCCGGACGTCTCCACTCTGAGCGATTCGGACGTCCCGCGGCTCCCGGACTGTTATATCGTCCGCCCACCTCGCGACGGCCTCCGTCAGGGCGCCCGGTTCACCAAACTATCCGTGCGCGGGGTGCCGGGCCGGTGTCAGCGCAGTTTCTTGCAGCTGACAGACGTGCGGTGGCGCGGCCGGCTGAGCGCTGCTGTCCAGCTGCACCAGGCCGCCAGCGAACAGCTGCACCGGCTGTGCGGTAAACCGGCGCCGGGACACGGCGTCAACGCTGTCACCAACCGATCGAATGCCTTATCGCTGTACACACACCGCGCGGGAGACGCCGCCTTCCTTTTCCATGTGGTATTTTTTGATAGGAGTGCGTGTGAGGATGAGGTGTTACAGGATGCCGAGGGAGGTCGGACAGTAAACGCGAACGGTCTACAGTGTCAACTGACGCTGCGGCTGCCGCTGAGCTACCGAGCCCAGCTGTGGTTGACTGCGGCAAACAACAGATCAGTGGTGGTGTCATTCGTGGACGGCGACGCTGCGTACAACCGGACCGTGCGGAGCAGCGTAACGTTAGTGACAGTGACAAATAGTGTGACAATCACGCTGGCCGAGGTAGGTCGGTCTAGTTCAAGGACGACCTCAGAGCCTCGGGTGGTGTCGAGTCTGCCGGCTGTGCATAGATCCGAGGCGCAGGGTGTACCGTCAGAGAGGGGGCGTAGACGGGGCATGGCGGCGCGGGAACCAGTACAGGAGCCGGAGCCGGAACCAGTGCTGGAGCTGCGCTGGTCAGCCGAGCCGGTAGATAACACCACTGCTGCCTGCGGCTGGCCGTGGGCCGCCCACGACGGCTGGTGTTACCTGGCGTCTGAGGAGACGGCCAGGTGGCAGGAGGCGGCTGCTGCCTGTGCCGCACTGGACGGCTCGCTAGTAACCGTCAGCGACGAGTCTACGGAGACCATTCTGACTGCCCTGCTAACCAACAGGTGAGTAGAAAACAGCGTAATCTACCTCCCCCGCGCGCTATCAGGCTAACGATCAAACGATGTTGTGTCGATGCTTTGACCAGTTGGTCCACCGTCCAGTAGATGAACATAGCTTAAAATTTTCTATTACGAGGTCTATTAACGTTTAAACTATAAAGCTTTAGTAACGTTTAATCTGCTATCAGCAGAAAACCACCTTGTGTCGTTACCATTGGATGACACCGTTTGTGCAGGAGATTGCGTGTCGGGGCAGCTCGAGTCGTTGAGATTGTAACTCTTCGTAAGCTCTTTGGCCGGATAAATCGGCACCAGAATGGTCGGCGAACGCAGGCAATCTACAGAACTAGGCCACCGGCGCGGCCGTGACTGCTAAATTCAGCTTTGTCGTATATATTTCACTACCACCGGTCTTACGCGACCCAGATAAGAAAAAGTTCAAGGGCCTGTGCCTGTGTACCGCACACAGATACTTTGGACACAGGGTGGAACTTTAAAGAGAAGCTTGAACTCCTGTAATGTCCAGAGAATAATGTTATGCATGTCCAGTCCAGTCCAGTCCCAGTCCTGTCCGTCCTGTCCTGTCCCAGTCCACTCCCAGTCCTTTCCAGTCTCAGTCATGTCGAGTCCCAGTCCTGTCCGGTCCCAGTCCTGTCCTGTCCCAGTCCTGTCCTGTCCCAGTCCTGTCCTGCCCCAGTCCTGTCCAGTCCCAGTCCTGTCCTGTCCCAGTCCTGTCCTGTCCCAGTCCTGTCCAGTCCCAGTCCCAGTCCTGTCTGTGTCCGGCTCATCCTGCTCCAATTCACTCGGCGCGGCTGTCCGGTCCCCGTTAAGCTGTCAGATTGTCTCGGCTCTGGATTAGGTTGGTCGGTCGGTAGGGTCGTTCATTCTCACATGTGTCGTTTATTTGCGGCTGGCATGTGCCATCGTCCCGCCGGGCCGGCCGAACGACAGCGGCGATGGGAGAAGCGCGTGCTGAGGGGTGGAGCCGCTGATCCCGGCACGGCAGAGGCGCAGTGGGACGGAGCGGAGGTTGAGGGAGAGCTCTGCTGACATGGTGCTGTAAGATAGGACGCTGGAGGGCTGTGGTGGTTCAATGCCTTTCAAAAGCATTTTTGAGTGAAAACAATTTTCCCGGGGTATAAAAGCAGTGACAACTTTTGTTAAATGATTCAACAGCATCCCGCAGTAAGTCGGAGGAAAAAATAAAGATTTAGGATGCAATTTAACTCGCTTGGTGACAGACAAATAAGAAGCATATGTATTGATTGTTAGCTTCATTCACAGAATCTATCTTTTGAATTCATACAATGCACCACTGTCCTCTCTGTTCAGTCGATTATGTGTTTTCTTTGATAGGTATACTAATAGTAGTACGCAATGCATGTATATGTATGGAGGTCGGCGAAGCATTGTCTCCATAGTCCATATAAATATCTGACTTCCAACAGAGACAGTGATAAGTGACTGCGAGTCTTATGCCTGCTTCAGACGGATGGTAGACAATCTCTTTCCAAGCCCGTGAACTCTATGCAGCATGCAGACTGACTTTTCTGACCTTTTGGTGTATGACGTGCGCCTGATTTAGGAGAACGAATTCCAGCTAATGATGAATGTAAATGCGAACCATGGATGACAGGATGAAGCATGGCCGAGAAAGAACGCGGAGTGGGAGCGGCTGCAGATATTGCGGGCGGTGTTAATAACGCGCTGTCTGCAGTATGCTGTTCAGGGGTAATGAAGCTGCGGTGCTCCGATAGTCTATGCCATGGTCGGTTAGGAGGGCGTGCGCTGCTCGTTTTACGGCTCTTTATCGCGTCGGCGCGTCAGTGCGGTGTAATTTATCAGTGCCTGACGGCCTCACTGACCCATCATATACACCGTGGTCCATCGATCCCCGTGTCAGCAGACGGGTCGCCATGGTTTGGACGGAGGACCGCTCCATCGAGGCGGCTACGATTACCGTAGCGCGTCATACGATCACCTCTCTGTTCACTTCACCTTGTAATCCGATCACTTCCCTGTTTGTCTCGCTTCGACTTCAGCTGCAATGAAGTTTTCCGGTGGTCGCAATTAGATGCGGCTCACAATTCCAAACCAAGACGCCACGATTTTTGCTCATTTTGTTACATTTTGTCCTTTGAACTATGACAAGTAGCATTCCTGACAGGGCAAATATCCTTTTTATTAGCTATTTTTCCGGCGACTCATTCGTTAGTAAAATAATGCCGCTCGATCTTCTAAAACATCACCTCTACCTGCTGTTATTTGTCCGTTCTCTCTAAAGCAGCCTCTTTTGTATCGCTCCGGTAGCGCCGTCTCAGCTGGTAGAGCCCGCATCAGCCGGTCCCATCCCCTACCCCGGCCCCGGCCCCTCTATTTTCGCCGCCGAGACGGCTGTGGGTCGCAGCCGGCGCGGCGCTCAGCGGCGCTTCACGGCCTTGTTCGGGTCGCTCGGCGGGCCATTCGTCGCTGTCGACAGGCGAGATCAGGTGCACGGCACGAGCAGGCGCCGCCAATCGATGCCGGCTATATTGCACCTCGGCGCAGACCATGTATCTTGGCCGCCTTCAGGCAGGGCGGTGGCGAGTGTCGCTGCTAAAGTGATGTGATACCAATACGGCGCCGCGATGTGGTGCCCGTGTGGGTGTGGTGCCTGTGTGGGAGTGGGCGGAGATGGAGGGGCTGAAAGGGGTCGATTGGTCCGTGACGAAGGGAGTAAAGATAGGTCGATTGGTTCGTGATAAAGAGGCTGAAAAAAGGCCGATCGATTCATTCATAAGGGAGGAAGTGAAAAGGCTGATTTTTGCACAATTTGAGGGACTAGAAACTGCTAAGTGGTCTGTGACCCGTGAAGAAAAGGCTACAAAGGCTCAGAAACTGTGTTAATATAAACGGAATAAATAAGGAACTTTTGATAATATATGCGGCATAAATGTAATTTTGTAATTAACTGAATCATAACACCTAATTTTATTCGGAAATATAGACCTGTCAGTCGAGGGAGGTAAATGAACCTTCAGATCGTTCGAATTTCACAAAGATGCCTGGTTTTCGCTGCCATTTGATCTTATCCTATGCACGCTTCCTCTGATCTTGATACTAAACGAATTTATAGTCTGACCTTTACCGACTGGTAATAGATTGATGGTCGGTCCGGCCAGCGATGAGTGCCCGTCTCTTCTGCGATATACTCTGCCCGGTGGTCCATTTGGGTGACCGATGACCCTTGTGTCCTCAGCGGAGGGTCGGCCGAGGACGAGCTGTGGACGGGAGGTTCTAATCAGCACCACGAGGGCACGCTCCGCTGGCCCGACGGACGTCCAGTCACCGAGAAATGTGAGTACTGTGAGAGGACTGTGAGAGGGCTGTGAGGGGCTGTGAGAGGGCTGGGATGTGAGAGGATTGGTAGTGCTTTGGGAGGACTTGTGAGAGCATTGGGAAGGCTGTGAGAGGACTGCATAATAGGGGACTGTATGATGACTGAGAACTGCGAGACTGTGGGAGTAAGTACATATAGTGAGACTGTTTTTTTGCACTGCTGGTCAGAAGGGCTGCTGCCCGCTCAATTAACAAAACTTGAAATTTTTACACCATCCGCTTCAACATAGCGACTGGTTAGGGTGTAGTGGAGCATCTGTGAGTTGCTTGACTTGATTTACGGCCACGTGAATGAGCCACAAACGGCGCGTAAATTTATGAAACTAAAGATAAAGAAGAGCGTCAGCCCGTGTGTGACAGGCATTTTCATCGTGTTACAATGATTTAGAATCCAAAGCTAAGCCCAGGCTCCCGTCAGAAAGCCGTGTTCTCAAACGCGGCTCAGATGCTGCCAGACACGTAGAACTTCGCCTTTATAAGCCACCGGGCCAACGCTGGCGTGATGGGATTCGAACACGAAAATCTCGAGGCATGATAGAGGATTTGATGTGACTGTTTGTATCGACAAGCAGGATTGAGCACAAATGAAATCCTTCTGCGTGGCTCTACTGCCATTTGTCTGTCTACTCGCTCTCTGATTGAAGACTCTGCGTAAGGTATTACAATTGCGAAGTAACACAGCTGCTTTTCCTTATGCAGAGCTCGTCTTTGTTCTCGGTTGTTTACTCACCTACACATGTTTGTCATGTTCAACGAAAGAGGTTTCAGTGTCCTTTGAAATATCCTTTGAAGCTACTAAATATTCCGTAATAAACTATACATCGTTTATCCATGACGTAATACATTATACCACTTTCTATATATAAAAAATATAAGCCTAATTAAACTACTTGAGGTCCCCAGCCTCCCGTCACCCAATAAAACCCGTCCACACAATGAAGCCTCCCCAGATGACCTCTCTCTGATATGAACTCTCTCTCACTCTAGCGCTCTCAGAGTCGGTGCCGGTGACCGCATCACCGACACGATAATACAATAGACGAGCACCTTATTGCCGGCCTATTTAATTTGTCGACCAGGGCACGTACTAATGAACGAGTCAGATTACACCAGAGAACATTGAACGTGCCTACCGCCGGCGCTGCAGCCAGGCGCCGCTGCCGTGCTAATGGGAACCAGATAGAGTGGGTGGGCTGTGAGCTGTAATCCAGAGCGTTTCGAACGCATGGAATGTCCCACCGTTCACTCAAGCCGGTAATTAGCCGTTTATAGTCGCTACTTTCAGTGCTGGTGCAAAATCAGCAGTGGGTGTTTCGAAAAGGAAGCACTTATACTGCATAAGTAGATACTTCCAGTTGAAGCTGAATGAGTATGCTGAGGCACAGTATCCACCAGGCGCAATGCAGCAGAGCCATCTGTTCACTGTTGGTAGGTTTGAGAGGCTGTTGAAGCACGGTTGCCTCTTTGGACGTTCGGTGTCATATAGCTGACGCTTACTGAATAATACTTTTGTTCCTCAAAATGAAAAGATGTAGGATGTACACACTCATGTTTTGCTTACATAACAGAGGTTCCTAATACGAGTATAAAGACCGATTACAATGTGACCTGTTGATTGGTCGTTTGAATTACTTGATTAGCGAATGCGACCAAGCTGAATTTGGGCGACATAGCAACACAGGCTGATGATGATGACTATGCTCCTGATACTGTTATACGGTACCTACTGATGTAGATGCTGGTGGTACTCCCTGATCCTTCGGACATTTATGTATCGCCTTGATATAGTTCCCTATTCAACTTTAAACTCAAAAGCTGCTGACCTTTACTCGGAAGCTCGACTTAAACCAATATTTGATGCCCCCTCATTTCCCTGGAGGTTCCTTCCTGAGCCAATCGACTGACCTTTAGTTAAAAAACCATGCGTCCAGCTGACCGGTGTGACCTTTCCATGTGCGGCAGGCTCGGCCCGGTGGTGCCGCGGCGGCCGGCTGGTGGAGTCGGAGGGACGGAGGACCGGCGCCGGCCGCTGCCTGGCGCTCCAGCTGCTGCCTGATGGGGAGATGGCCGGCAGGGTCAGGCCGTGCTCCGATAGACTGACCTACGTGTGCCGCCGACCCGGAGCGCCAGGTCAGTCAGTCAGCTCGGTGGCATGCGGCAGCCTATCACTGCTGTTTTTTGTGACACTCTCAGCAGAGATCTGCGACCGACGCAGTTAGCTTTTTTGGACTGTCATGATCTCTTTCAGAAATCATGTGACTGGAGCTCAGTTGACAGTTAACAACGTCGAAAGCTAATCCAATTGTTTGCTTTTTGGAGTGTCACTGACTCACTTCCTCTTCAAGAATTTATTTGACGCCTGACATAATCTAGCTGTCGCAAACGTAACCAACGGTCAGTAGGAGTGTCAGGTGCTGTTACAGGACTAATATGACAGTCAGTTGACAGCAGCAGAACGAACTCTAACCTGACACCAGGAGTTTGACAGTGAACTTGACGCCTGCCTCGGCGCCGAATAAATGTACTGTTTGTCCCTCAGCGTTGATATTCATTAGTTGAGGAAAGGAACGATAAAAGAACGATTACGTACAATGAAATATCATGCCAGCTTGTAGTTTGCATGTTAGGGTGATGTCTTTTAGACAGCCAGCTTTGGAAGTAAGTACGTCACATTTCAGGTGTAGAAAGTAAAACAGTTCAACATTTTACAACTTTTCAGTGCTCCACTAAGTACGAAACTTGAGGCCCGTCATGTTAAAAACCTTGCCCCGTTATTTATATAGGTGGCTGATGTGATGTATTTATAAACTTCAAACGTTAGAAGCCATTTGTATACGTACCTACTGAATTTCGGATTGGGTGAAAGGTAAAACGAACTTTGATATAAGGTTCTCTAGTCCTAAATGCCAGTACTGTGCTTATGAAACTCGGCACATCTAGATCCACAATGTACTAAAAGCATATGATCATAATATATCACGTCAGGTTAATGTACTTTGTGCCTACTTACGTACCACACAGGCTTGTAATCTGCCTTGCTCAAAAGTAGCCTACTTACACGACCAATGAGCACGCTATGATGTCATTATGTGGTCAGTTTGTGAGATTGCCCCCTCCCCTCCCCGGTAGCCGCCGCGCTGCACGTGACTGGGCAGCCCGGTAGGCTGGCGGTGGAGGGAGGGGTGTCGGTTGCCGTCGCCGCCGCCGCGGGGCGCCGATGACGACCTTGCTCCGATAGGGCTTCTCCCGTCAGCCGGGACGGCGCCGACTGTCAGCCGTCTGAGCAGAGCGGACGCCAAAAATGTCGAACGCTTCCTGACAGCGGCGAAATGAGACCGTTTGCTTTGATTGGTGGGCTGATGTAATGTTGATAAACTGGTGTGATTCGGCTCTTACAAGTAGCTTGGCTGTTGCTGTGTGGTGTCGGGGGTGGCTGGAAGACGGGGCGAGCGCATACAAAGGATTTCGGACTCCTTTATATCTCAAGGGAGCGCACGACCAACACGCAACGGAGACTTCAAACCTCATTTAACTGCTCTTCGCAAACAGAAATATGGGGAACTGCTAACGGAAATTACTGACCACGTGTTTCCGTGCTGCGTGTCCGTTTGCCAACTTCAATATTACATCCGGCACATTTGTACTGTCGCGTGAGAGGCAAATTTAATTGAAGTTAGAAGGTTCAACACGGTACAATGCATTATCAATGTCAGTTTCGCTATATGCATCAACGAAGCTAAACGACTCTGAGTGTTTCCTAGTAGTAAAGAATTGAGAAGATCGAATATCTGGGTCTATTGCCACCCAGCACAACGCCAATTGATCTATTGACAGTTGACACTGGATCGTGCTTTGATAAATATTTTCACTAAACCAATGCGGGTTTGCAGAAGCGTTATAGAGACGAGCTGTACAGTTCACAGCACAGAACAATTCTCCCTTGAACTGAAATCTGTCTGTGTTTGTCCATTCCAGCCTCTGAGGACGCGGGCTGTAACCGAACGATCCTCCTCTCGGCGGAGATCGGACCAGTGACGGTGAACAGCGCCGGTCGGCCGGACCGGTACGGCCCTGACCTGACCTGCGTCACCAATGTGAGCGGCCCGACCGGCTCCAGGGTCGAGCTCATCTTCACACGGTTCATACTGGAACAGGACGACAGGTCAGTGCGGGCCGACAGGCTGTGTGGTGCTTGGTTTTGTAAAATGCGTGCCGTGCGTATTGTTATCCCGGATCATGCCGGAACCATCGCGCTGGCTGGTGGACGACTACGCTGCCAAAAGACCCTGTAGAGTGCGGTTTATTCTGGATATGAGCGGCACATGAGTGATTGGCAGTCTGGTGTGGCACTGCGATCCCATGAGGAATACGGGAGCGGTAACCCTGCAATATGCGCGACGGTGAGTTATGCCATGGTGCGACTGGAGGCTGTGTTAAAGGCTTTAGGAATGGCCCAGCCAGCAGAGCACTTTTACCATTAGAATGGTGTGCTCGTTTTCAGTCACATTTTTTGTAAGCTGCCACTTCGTGACCTCTGTGACCTCTGGGACTTCATCACTTCAGTCGTCTTAGCATCTTATAAGATGGCTGAAACGTTTGCTGGATATGTATGACATAGATATGCATGAGGGCATGCTCCCTTATTCCGTCCTGCATAGTGCATGTAGAAATGTTGCCTCTGGCCGACCCTCTGATGAGCACCTTTTCACGCTCGACATGCGCCGCAACTTTACGGTGACGGGGCGTCGAGATATGGGGCCATTTCGGCGACACGGCACCAATGGATGGGTACAGCAGGTGTCTCCGTGGTGCCGGGGCCGAGAAACCGCCCGAGACACTGGGGTATGGTGACGGCACACAGCAGAGGAGGTCCACAATAACGGGAAATAATTGGAGATGTGTCGATGCCGCGCGGTTACGCGGTATGACACTATATAAATGACTTATCATATTCTTAGCATGCGATAAATCAGCCAAGAAGGTCTTTTGTTGGAAGTTCCCTTGTAACCGTCAAATGATAGCACATACGAAATCTTTTTCTGTCTAAAAAGGTAGAACGAAAACAGTCATCACGACTCTGCACTGACCTGCATTGTTCGGAGTCTGATTACCGTTTCCGTGTGACCGTTTTCAGCTGTGACTACGACTCTCTGACCGTGCTGGAGGAGGGTCAGGTGGTGAAGCGCGTCTGTGGAGACTGGTCAGCGCGCCTGAAACTCCTGCGATATGTCAGCAGCACAGAGAACATCAGTCTGGTCTTCGTCACCGACTACATGAACGCGTTTCCCGGCTTCGAGGCCGTGCTTCAACTCGTGACAGGTGAGTGGTCGGCGGAGTTGAAACTCTGGCTGCTCTCACTATAAAGTGCAGGACTGCCAGCCTTGCTATCGTCATGAGGATGCTAAGCCTCACTATTTCCATGCATCTGTACGCCATCTTTGAAGTTCTTTACAGTCGACGTGCTGTTTTTTTTTTCACGGCTCACGTTACGGCATACTTTTCTGCGGATGAACATTTCTCACTTACTGTTCTTCACACACTATGGTCTATGAGCTTTTCTGTCCACCATGCACAGAACGCTTCATTCCACGAAGTACCCCACTCCCGATTGTGTTATACGTGGCATTGTGGCACCCCTTCCATTCGACTAGCCATCCGACGGGTTATATCGCAGAGTGCTGCTGCTGCCGACTGCCTGTTGTCTCCGTGGGACAGTTCCCCCACTGTCCCGAGGGCGGCGGGCCCGAGATGATTAACGAGCCCGGGCTCTGTGGGAGGACCCTCGCGGTGACAACCTACTCACACCAGATAGAGGTGCCATTTGTAGCGGCGACCAGCGCCACTGCGCCCGGCTTATAGCAGGGCGGGTGGGTATTTCTAGCCTGAATGCATACATGTAAGACAGCACACCTTAAATATAAATTGACCGTAAAACGCGTCGCCGATTTCTTCAAGTCGACATGGCTATCTTTTATATGAGTGCTTTTAAGCTTTGCTAAAAAGTTTCGACGCAATTATTGGGTCAGCGAATGTTTCCTTATTTACGACTCACTCGTACCTCTTAAATGTTCCCACCATTATCATGACTTTCACCTGCGGGCTATATTCCCTGTGGTCGTTGGCCGCGTCCATTAGGCCTTTCTGTGTTATTTTCCGTGTGGCTGCCGCCCCGGCCCCGGCGGTACATGACTGGGTCTTATTTTACCCGGACGGTGGTCGCGCTCGGATCGATGTGGTGCAGTCGCGGCGGGCATCCACCGGTGCCACAGGGGAACGGAGAGGCATCGGCGCGACCCGACCGACCTCCTCGGCCGTACCTCCACACTCCACAGTGAAAAGGTCGCGGACGGTAAAGGACAGTGGAAAGGTCGGCGTGTTAGGTGTCTCGCCCTCGATCTACTGAAAAAAGAGCAGACAGAAAACATTACTCGAACGTGCTTATACACATTCGCACCAGCTGCCAATCTGCGTGTTTGCTGGTTTCGTGTAGTTTCTTCCTTATTATACCCGTCCCAGTTCCGGTCCCTTTGATGCGTTCTTTCCGTGCGGCGCCCGCCCACCTACACCCCTCCCCCGATACCCCTCCCCTCTACGCCCGGGGGTCCATCTGTTGAATGTCCCTTCCCTATAAACGGCTGACGGTTGGCGGGCCATTACTGTGCAGTGGCGGACGGTATCGTGTGTCATAACAAAGGCCTGCGAGCCGATGGCCCGACCACGCCCTGTCGTTCGTTCTCTCCCCTTCCCCATTCCCCTCCCGCGCGTCCTCGCCCCCTTCCCCGCCCCCGTCCCCGTCCCCGCCCCCGTCCCCACTAGTTCGATATCGTTTCAGCTTGATGGCCGCTTCGGGTCGTATAACGGTGCACACTGCACAGTAGGTCCATTTTATCTGTTTTAGCGTAACGCATCATATTATTTCTGGAGCTATATCCTTCGCAATTTTTTTCAGCCGTTATATAAAAACGATTTGCTTGACTAGCATTTTTATTCACTTCTTTTGATGCTTTAGATTGGCCATACATGTTTCTGAAGTTTGCTGGTTTACAGTAGCTGCCATTAATCAACTCCATCCCGAGTTGTGCACGTCAGGTGTCCACTCACCGGCCAGTGGGCATGTCACAGTCGCACTACCAACCCAAGCTGAGCACTGAGCACTGAGCACGCTGATCCCATTCGGCACGGCTCCCGGCCATTCAATCTTCGATCAGATGGACCGACCACTCAGCAGAGTGTCTCAATTGGTCGTTGGGGCCACCGTAGGAGGGCGTTTGTGATTGAGCTGGTCTGGTTCTGTGCCGCCGATCGGTAGCGGGTCGCTGCAGGAGGCCCATACTCAACACCATCCAGTTTATGTGTGTACCTACAAAATATATCGACGATCTATGAAAGTTTCGCTTGTCCTGATATTATTTTACTTAAAAATTAACTACTTATAAAAGCGCTGACGAATTTAGTGTCCTATATTTAGTACAACGAAAGATGTATCATCTCCGATTTTGGCTTCTAGTTTTCAGCTTCTTTGTCGACGATGCTCTTTTGTATTATTTTGGCTGTCATGATACTGATATTTATGAGTTGTAATGTGACAATTATTTCATAAATATGCAAGATATTACAACAAAAATTACCCGACGTTTCGTTTATTATAACTTTTCAAGGGTTTTCATTACCCTGGAAAAAGTTATAATAAACGAAACGTCGGGTAATTTTTGTTGTAATATCTTGCATATTTATGAAATACTGATATTTATCTTTGGTTGCGTCAATGAATACTGTAGTTTTGCCATAGATTGTTGTGGCCTGCCGTCGGACTCCCACCTCCCACTACCTCCCACCTCCCATTTCCCACCTCCCCCTCCCACCTCCCTCCTTCCACCTCACACGGCCGTCCGTGGGCGCGCCGGTCGGTCGATCGGTCCGCCCCGTCGTGCCCTGCCGATCGAGCCGTCCACACCGATCGGTGCGGCACTCGGTGCAACTTCTCCACCCGAGTTATGATGCAAGTTAGGGGCGCGCTGCTGCCCTCCCAGCGCCGTGCCGCCCTCTCCGCTGTATTCCGCTCTGCTCCTCTGAGTGTCATCGGTGGGGGGCTCAAGATAAATTGTAGATGCACTGCACTCCAGGCTTCTCTGTATATTAAAGTAAGAGAAGTCTGTGAATGCACCCATTGTATTTTTGTAGGAGGTGCTGCTCTGACTCTATTTACTTTATTTTTATGCTCCTTGACAATTTAGTTTGAATATGTGTCGTGTATGTGTACCGCACCATGGCGAATGGCCGCGAGACAAACGTCCTCCGATTAAATTATAACCGTTTTGTGACATCCATGGCGTGATCTGAGAGTGAGACTCATCTAAGATGTTTCTAAATCCAGGCGTAGGTCAGTGTTATTTTGTTATGTAAATGTAATAACATTTTAATTTCGTGGCGTTCTCTATCGCTGCTTACCTTCTACGGAAAACGCGGAGCTGTTTCTGGGCTCGCATGTCTTCAAATATAGAACACACAATCTTTTCATACGGGCTCGTCGAAATGCGGCCGGCGCACCGCGACGTCTGAGCGGTCGGATCCAACTGTCCAGCCTGATGGACGGAGCAGTCAGGATGGAACACTCGGACGACACTGACAGTGTTACAGAAGCCAGGATGGACAGTGTTACAGCAGGTCGATACGGGCTGCAGTGCGGCACCAACACTGGCTAGGTGGCAGCGCCGGATTCGCCTGTCACTTTGGATCAGTCGGCAGAGCGCTGGGATTCGCCGTCGGCGAGTTCCGTGGAAGCTGGGCTTGAATTCGAAGAGGCCAGGCGCTGATGCGACCATGGAGCGACAGGGGTGGGGGTGTCTCAAGCAAAGGCTGGTGTTGCAAAGCATCTTTATTCTACGGCCATGCTTCACTGAGCCAATGGACTACGTTGCTTTAGCTGTAAGCCGTGTGCTTTTATGGAAATGAATAGGTCAGACATCCATTGATATCATTCGCTCGTAAGATGATTTCGGTTGCCCTGAATCTGACTTCAGGATGCTACCTCTTATCCGACGAAGCGCAGCGTGAGTGTTTAATTAACTTTCCATCCGATCTGACTTCACACTTCAACTTGTTAATGCATGCAGATTGCAGGGGCTCCATTCATCGAAAGTTTGTTTGCTAAATTGTGTTATTCAACTTGTCGAAAGCCTTTTGATTATGTTGCGAAGTCATTGAATACTGGTTTGGAGTAGAGTGTAGTGAGTGTACTACTGTCAAATAGTTAAGTGCGGAAGAACGGGCACTGAGCAGTTGTCTCCTAATCGAAGTTTCGAATTTTAACATTACGCGGAGTGCTGATTTTACTCCATTGAAAAAGAACAGTTTTGACTGGTTGATGTTGGCTGGAATTAGACCGAAGAAAACTTGAACATTGAGCAAGAATTGGCTGTTTTTCCTACTTTTTTTCGTTTTCTGGATATATCAGTAACTGTTTACGGACAATTTGCAATGATATGATTTAATTGCATCACGAATTAACGTAACTGTTTTAGCGGCATGCATAACGTTAGTGAAGCCTGCGATTCCCACTTAACTTAAGCAGTTGAGTTACATTGTCATGAAACTTGTATAGGCTGTGTCACATGTAATTGTAAAACAACTATGACAACGACACATAAAAATTACCCTTGGCATGTTTCTGATGACTGAGGTTCTCAAGGGAGGATCAGGGGATCCGCCATTCGGCCCGAGCAAATTAGCACCGCCACTTAGTCCCGGTCTGGCTGGTCGATTTGGCGAACAGGAGTCGGACAGTGTCAGGGGACGGAAATAATGAAATTAGTGGCGGCGTCCCGCCTGGGGACACGGACGGTGTCCGATGACCAGGGGTCGGGACGACAGAGCCGCCGAATCCCTCCGGTGTCAGCTGCAGCGCTACACCAGGTCGCGATGACGTGCCGCGGGGTTTAGCCTGCTGTTGCCGGCCGAGACGATATTGACCATGTTTCCACGGGCACTCGTGATCAGGATTGCCAAATTTAAATCGTATAAGTTGTATCAAACTTTTCGTTACAAGCGATACGTTATAGTGGATTAGCTTTATATAATCACTTTAATCTCTTATTTTCAATTTCGTATATCGTCCAAGTATGATACTGGATTACCTAATCCACTTTTACTGATCCAGATCACAGGTGCCCATGGAAACCGGGCCAATGACATAATGCCCATGCTTTTATATTTCATGTGCTGATTTGTTCATGAAAATACCCGGAAAGAACAGAAGTGCCTCAGCAGTCAGTGAACAACAAAACAGCTCCCATTGACATATTTTGGCTGCATAATATGTT